CGGCCTATAACTTTGAGTCAAAATCAACATATTATGGCATGTGCATATTGGGGAGATATAAAGCCTGCCCCTCATAAATGTAGACACTGCAAAGAGATGTTTCATTGAATCGACACAACAGGCAGCAATCTCACCCATTTGGACACCTGCCAGCTGGCCATCACACTCACTTTCCCATAACTTCGCACCAGACCGACCATTCAAGTGGCCCATCCAAACCCCCTTTAAACCTCAGCTCTGCCACGCGCTCAAACTCCACTGTCATCAGGACGTCCACAAGGATGAGGCCCCTCAGGGTGGTCTGCAGCCGCTCACCAAAGGAGAACGCCTCCGCAGGGGCACCCCTGCTGGGCGGTCTCCCAAGGCAGACACGAGCGGCCACAGGGTGCCATGATAAGTGCAGCCAGGCCTGGGTATCAGGCCGCCGAAGCCTCAAGGCAACTGTGTGTTTGCTGGCTTGCACTACCTGAAGTGGCAGCAAAGGTTCAAAGTTGAGGGATCTCATAATACTCTTACGTACGGTGAAAGTGCTGGTTTTTGCTGTAACTGCCGGTGTCCTCAGAAATTTTGATAATGCCTTTAACAGTTTGGACAAGTGCCCTGCAGAAGAGTGGTGCCCACTGTACGTTGCATATTCGTTTGCAAGACACACCTTGGTGGCATCATGCACCCTGCATACTTGCGCACCTCCAGACACACAAACTTGCATTCCATATCCCACCAGTGAGGATGCTAGTGCCTCCAGCAAGGGCACATGAACAAGCTGAAAATACTCCAGGAATATGCAGCAAAACATCAAGCAAGGGCCAAAACAGCAGATAGTGTCAAGATATTATGTGACACTGAGGCCAGAAGCATCGTGCCTATGTGTGTTGCTGTCGTTGCGATTAAGCTTTCACTGTGCTTTGGGACGCTCATGTGTTTGTATTTGGAAAATAAACAGAAGCAATGCCAGGGCCTGGGCTGTGCATGTGCCTGCTTCGTGCAGAATTCAGATCCATACATTAACATTCCATACATCATGTGTTCCAGGTTTTTGTCGGCCAATAAGCTCTGTGGGTCAGAAATGTTGTGCTGCAAACCCAGCTGAGGCCAACACATCGACAGCACAGACACACAGCATTCAAGGTAATGTTCCCAGGTTGCAAAGCAGCGTCTCAGATTTCTTTTAAGCCATAGGGGCCACTCTTCTCAACATTCGACAACTGCAATGAGTGAAACAAGAACTCCCAGGATTGGCCAGGGACTCCCCATTGTCTTGAATTCAGCATACGCAACTGCCCCAGACGTAGGGGTGTGGGGGTGTGGGGGTGTGAGGGTGTGTGGGGTGGAATTGGGGTGTGTGAGTGTGGGGTTGTGGTGTGGGTGTGGGGTGTGGGGTGTGGGGTGTGGAATGGGGTGTGGGGTGTGTGGGGGTGTGGGGTGTGGGGTGTGTGGGGGTGTGGGGGGTGTGTGGGGAGGGGAGAGCTGGTCGACCAGCCAGTTTTTCCTGTCAGTACAGGAGCCATACACAGGCCTCACTTTGATCCGAGGTCAAAGGTGGCTGTAAGGCTAAGGCAACGCAGCAGCAAATTGCAGCTGCAATCAAGCTGGCACTGAAAACTTCCCTGTGGCAAATATTTTCGAACTGGCAGCACATTCAAACAATATCATTGTACTGATGCACAATGTGACTCAAGAAATCTACGCCTCTGTCAGTCCTTGAATACAATCTTTGTGGTTTGCCATTAATTTTGCTGTCCTAGGGTCGAATTGGCAAAGATAACAGCAAATTACACATGTCTCCAGCGTGGTGTTCAGATTCCGCGGCAAACTCCCTAAACGGCGGTACCATACGGCCCTTATATGAAACAGATGCCAGGTTCCATCGATGATGGAAGGACAGACTGGATGGGTGGGCAGAGTGCACACGCTCAACCACGAATGCAGGCGAACCACAGCCTTGGCAGCTCTTGCACAGCGTTTCACCCTGCAATCCGACAATCTCGGTCACCTTTGGGCCCTCCTCACGTCATCAGCCCCAGCATTACCAGTTTCACAATGCCAAATTTTGCTCCCATTCTTGATTCCTGCTTCCTCAGGAGGGTTCAACACAGGACTTGCAATGACCAGACGCTGCGGCTGATGGCACTGTGGCCCTCCCGTCGCCAAATCTAGCGCAATGGCACGAGTTTGTCCTGTCCAGAAACAGCAATCCCCAAACCCCATCTGGCCCGCATCAGCGCATCACCTCCTCCACTCTCGAGGGCGTCCACGCCTTCAGCGCACTGCAGCACGCCAGCATCGCCGTGTAGTCGACGGGCTGCCTGCGGGCCTTTTCCGTCCGCGGCACCGAGGCGGATTCGGGCACCGCCAGCGCGGCTGGGCCCAGGGCACCGTCTCCAGAGGCGTGCACGCGACGCGCCCCATCTGTGATGACGTGCCGCTTCGCCTGCGCATGGCTGGGTGAAGGGCGGTCGTTGCGGTGCAGCGAGGGGAGGGCTGGCGACGCACGCGAGGCGCGTCGCGACGCCAAGAGCAAGCCCCTGTGGGCCGATTGGGACAGCATCCCCCACACGCACCGCCTTGCCCCTGCGAATGTGACGATTCGGGTTTAAAGCATCAACTCATGCCCAAAAATGACGAGTTCTTGTTGGTTCCTTGATGCAATAGAACTGCCGCTTTTTTTTCCGCTCCTTGATGCGTTTTGCACTTGGGTGTGTCTCCACGACTGGATTGAATGTCTGACTTTCAGAGGGAAATTCCTCTGAAAATGCAATCACCCAAAAGATGAAAAATGTGCAATTCTTTTGAGAACCAACTGTGGCTGCTCAGACCTTGAGCCTTGAACCTCAGGTCCAATCCAAGAAACTTTACTTATCAAGAATATTGCGACTAAGTTTCAGTCTGTTAGTTTCCAGCGATCCATACAAACCTCAGGAATATATCAATATTTGAATATTGCGCCTTCCTTTGTGAATTAGCTCTTGTTCGTAGTTCACCAACGGACGGAGTCGCCTCTCACGCCAGACTTGGAGCTCTCGTCGCCGTGCTTTCTCGGAACTTGGCACTGTTCCAAGGCTTCCACACTGTTTCCATGCCTCCTATGTCTGCAGTGCATGGTTGAATTGCGGAGTGTTGCCATGATGGCAGTGCCATCTGATTTCTGCCTTCGTGCGCTGTGTTCCCATCAGTCAGACACTCAAGAGACCGTCATGCACGTGCTAGCCTTGTGCCTCAACACCTCGTGCCGTGTTCGCCAATCGAATATCACAGCCTGCAAATTGCAATTTCTTGTTGACCTCCTGGATCTGCTCGAGCAAACTGCTTGCCATTTCACCAACGTGGTCCACAGCATCCGCACATGTGCCTTGGAGCGTTGCGCTCCCACCGATCGGCTTGCTCACAAGCTCGCCGGTTGGCACTGGCCTTTGCTTGTTCTTCCCGGAATCGCGCCTTCCAGACGGCTCAACTCGCCACTTTGAGTTTGCGAAGAACATTTTGCGAAAGCACCAACAAATTAAATTTAAACTTGGAAATTTCCAAGTCCGCACCTTGTTGCTATCAGTCGTTACACGACTCCAATCTGTCCCACGAATCTGTGTGGTTTCGACTCACCACAGCTGCCAGTCCGTTCTACATGACAACAAGCCACTGCTGCAATCAGGCTTGGTAAATACGGCTGGATGTAAATAAAAATACGAATTATTACGATCATTTGGGAATTTTTTGAAATACAAGTAGTTTTAGGCCTACCTTAGAGCAATTTTATATTGAATACCCATAATTTGCCAATTAATGGATGAGACCTGCCATTTGCATGCCACGGACCTGCGACCTGCTTGTCACGATGGACCTGGGCGAACTGTGGATGTGGCGAAGAGTGAGTGGCGATGCTGGCGGTCCTCAACGCTGCTGACATAGTTGCTGTTGTAGAGGCAGCGGACGAAGATGGCATGGATGGGTCGGACATGGAGGCCGACTAATTTTGTCAATACTGATTGTTTTGCACTTTTGACAATGGATGATAACTAAATAAATAATGCCATTGAAGCTGTAATTGTGAAAATGTTTGCCACTCTTTAGACTTTTTAAAACCCCCCAAAATACGTGACAATACGCGTATTTTTCTGTATCATTATTTTAGGCCTTATCCGCAGTTCCCAAGCCTGGCTCCAGTTGTTGTGAATCCCTTGGATCATGTTGGGGACGTTCATCCTGCAGCGCTGGTCAACATAAGCATCTAGGCATTCAACATGACGCAACTCATCACTCCCCACTGAAAATACAATGATAACGCACGCCAATAATGTATTCAAACCCATATTCAGCACGTATAAGTAAACCCATGTCTCACTGAGTTCCGTGCTCCCTCAGACAATATAAGTATTTACGCACATTATTGCCAAAATCCCAGAAGTCAAATCCCATTTCGCCGAGGTCTTGTTTCCGCTTCCTGTGCATCAAGCTTACGTGCATTATTTTAATTTACTGTCATGTGCTTTCCCAGTCTGCATATTGCCTACCTACCACTTAAGTATTGCAGGTCGTGTTGCTTGCACAAATTCAAGTTAATGGCGCCAATTTTCCGTGAGTGCTGCTAAAGTACGGTTCACTTGGAGCATTGTTGCTTAAAGCACTACTGTCCCCCAAAATCTTCCACGATAACATCACCAGTCCAGCCTCTGGCACTCGTGGAAGTTCCACGTTCCAGGCGTACCATGTGTCGAAGGCCATTGTTGGCCACCCCCAAGGACCGTTGTTAGCATTCACCAAACCCGATCAGGGCCTTGTGATCTGATCTATGGGGATGTAGGCCGGTTTGCGTACATTGGTGTGTTGTGATGCAGAGTTGCACACGGCATGCAACGGCTTTGCCGACCAGACAGTGCATGTTTTGTGTGCTTTGTTCCCGTGATCACGTCAGTCCCTTGCACACTCGGTCAGTAGATACCTTGAAAAAGTCCAGAATATCAGCCTTGGGGCAAGCGAACTTTTGATTCGGACTAGATAGAAATTTTGTTGTTGCTGCTGATCTTCTACTGCCATCGAACAAGGCATCGGGCCTGTAACTGTGTATTATGTTCAGGGGGGTTCTGGTTCAGGTTTTGAGCGGTTTCCAAGAATTGATATGTGTGAACCTTCGCGCGCTCCTGAAAGTCCATTCCTGGTAAACGGTGATGTTCAATCCACAATACCGACGCCTTGTGAGTGAATGACCACCTGACGATTGTTTCTTGTGCGTTGTGGTATGCTATGACTTGTGTGATAGCTGTGCGTGGATCGGTTTTGTGGCATCGTGAAAGATCGTTGCAACTTTGTGGAGCACTACTGCCCATAGTTTGCAAATGATCCAATTTCCACTGCACTTAGCACATTGAACACACAAACCATTACTTTGTGAGGTGTCTGGCCAATTCGTCCGAGGACAACTTGTCTAAAAGACAAGTCGTCTAAAGACAACTGGTCTAAGGACAACTTGTCTAGCGAGTGATCCTCTCTAAACACGGCCACAGGCTGGTTGTGCACCAATGACACAAACTTCTCTGCCATGAGCGCGACTCGTTTTCGAACCCGTTGCGGGTGTTCAGGTGCCCTATGGTGAAGTCAGTTGCAACGTGGATGCCGTCTTTGTGTTTAACGCAAAGACCCATCTAATAGACGGGTTATCTTTAGAAGAGTTGAGTCAACTCGTCTACGCAGCACCCACCAATCAGGTTTGGTTTTTATGCCGCAAAACCTGATCGTATTTACATTTTTACGTGTAAAAATAGTTTTTACGTTTTTACGCGTAAAGTTGCGTAAAAATACGTAAATAAAACGTAAAAACTGCCCTGTGTACATAAGGACAGTACATACAGACTTTTGGATTCCGGAGAGTGGCATCCAGACGCTCTGGAAAGGGCAGAAAATGAGTTTTTGTCAAACGCCATCATCGCCCTTGCCAAGGGCGATGTTGACATTGTGTTGTGGGGACTGGAGATGGCGGAGAACTGATCATTGTACGCAACTTTCACCGTGCAACCTGGGTGTCCCAGGGAGCAGTAAAAACGTAAAAATAACCATAAAAATAGGCCCTTTCGCAAATCTACGTTTTTACATGTAAAAACGTAAAAGTAAAACCGTAACCGTAAACGTAAAAACCAAGCCTGCCACCAATTGCATTTAACCTTTAATTACAATTCATTTCGTTTGTGGCAGGCTGCATTCCGAACTGGTTTCTGCACACGTTCCTGGCAACCGCACAGGGGGGCGGACAGCACAAGAGGGTGATCACCGTTCCAGTCACATGGCTGGCGGGTGTGGCGCGGTTTGGCGCAGTGTGGCATCGCGTGGAGCATCGATTGGCAGCTATGGAAAGCGGAAATTCTATAGGGCGCGGAGGTGGATCGAGGGGAGAGATAGCCGAACGTCAGCGCCGATTGGCAGCGATGGAGCGCGCAGATTCTCCAAGGCGCGAAACTAGGTCGATGGGAGAGGTTGGCGAAAGGTATAGTCGATTAGCAAAGATGGAGCACGGACATTCTCCAAGCTGCGAAGGTGGATCCACGGGAGAGGCAGGCGAACGGCAGCGCCGATTGGCAGCGATGGAGCCAACAGATCCTTCAAGGCAAGAAGGCGGATCGTTGGGAGAGGCGGGCCAACGCGACCCCAGTCCACAATGGGAATGGATTCGCGGACAAAGGCGTTGAAGTTCCACGGGCACCTCTACACAAGGAACCGGGTGGTGCGCTGCACCAGTTACTGGCGGTGCGAACGACGCGACTGCCCAGGGCGCGCAGTTTTGATTGAAGATGTGGCTGCGAGCAACAGTGGCCCTTGGGCAACAGGCTTGAGCTGGAATGCGGAAATGAGTGAGCTGGTTTTGTGTTCAGGGGAATGCGGTCAACAGGCGAGGGCCCTCGAGCCACCGCCTGGAGGTACATGTGGATATGAGCAAGTGAACTTGGGTCAACGGAATTCTAGACGAGTTGTCCATTAGACGAAATGTCCTTGTACCACTTGTGCATTAGACGAGTTGTCCTTAGGCACCCACTGTGCGAATAGACTTGCCAATGGCGGTTCGAACACATTTCCAAATGTTCTGCATGGCCTGCAGTCAGGGATTCGTTCTGAGCCCAATATGGCGAATTAGCTGCCCGGTTCGCAGCCAAGTCCTCTTCCAAATTTTGCCTTGGGGGTGGCCTGAACGCTCAAGAGCCGTCATGGATCAAAGTAAGCGCGGGACAGGATGCGCACCAGCCTTCCTGCATACCCTGGCTTTTGAGGGGCCCACAGTCACGCCCCATTTGCTCGGCGCCAGCTTCCTATGTCGGACAGCAATGGCTCGTTCCAGCCACGAATCCATTTGATGCCCTTGCGGTAAATGACACGCCCTGTTACACTCATCCCAGCAAGTACACCTGTCGTCTCAAAAGCAAAGCCAAAAGCCGGCTTGCTTGCTGCGGCTCCCTCATTGACTTGCGGCTGGTCGGATTCTTCAGCCAAAATTCCCCTTAGTCATGGAAAAATATCCCGCAAGGCCACGCTGTCGCGGGGGAAATTCCTGGGAAGATGTGCGGTCCCAATTCCCCTACGGTCCTGTCTGTCACATGTATGATCAGTGATCACCATGCTTTGTACTACCTTCCCCTGACAGATTCCCTTCAACTCACGATCCGGCGGCGTTTGGCCCGGCCCGGCTGTCCACTCTTCATAAGTGTCCACCGGGCTTGTTACTCCACTCCTCTCGCCTCGCAGTGTTGGACCCCTCCCTTTCAGCAGGTGAGCCGGCTGGGCGGGCTGTGGGCGGGGAAAACTTGGCCAAAGCGGGGCGAACGCAGCGGCAAGCGCCGCAGAACGCGTTTCGCACCCGCGGCCTTGACCGTGTGCGCCGCCGCGGTCGGCGATTTCGGGATCCCCTGGCTGGCCCCTCAGTACAACCGCCCCGATGTAAACGGTAATTTGCGCGGAGGCAGATGGCGCTGAGGGCCCCTCCGGGCCTGGGCGCGTCCCAAGATCGCGCGTTTCTGCCGCCGAACGGGCGTTTCGCTGCTTGGGATAGAAATTCTGGTCCCAATTGCTGCCGCCACCCCGTGCCATTTCACGCCGCAGCTTCCGCCATTCGCCGCCGTTTCAGCGGCGGCCGGCCGGCATCCTCCGGAGTTTGGGCCGATCACGGCGCCCGCCAAAAGGCGTACCCCGTTCCGGCGCCAACCGCCCGCCGGAGTTTTGGGCGACGTGAGGTTTGGGCGCCTCGCAGGGCACCCCAGCGCCCCCAGCGCTGCCACGCAGCACGCTACACCCCTGGCGGCGCCCCTGGGCGGAGATCTGTCGCCCTGCCGTCTCTCAAGGCACAGCGAATGCGAATGTTCCACCCCCGCAGGTGCCCGCCCCACCGCCCACGCCCTCAATTCTCTGCCGCCGATCTCCCGGCGCCCGCGGCGGGTATCTGCTCTGCCGCGGCGGTGCACCCCGTCAGCAGCCGCTTCGGCCGCGCCCGCTCCCCAGTTTTCGAAATTCACACGGTCTCCAAAATTGTCGGCACCCTCAGTGCGCCGCCCTCTGGCCATGTTCCCAATTTCGCGACCGATCCGTGGACTCTCGCGCGTGGCGGCTGCTAGGGCCGGGGCTCAAGTGTGACCGGGACGGAACCCGCTCAGTTGCCTGCCCCAAGCGCTAGCGCAATTGCAAAACCTCGCTGGAGTCCTTGAGCGTGGTTGCTTGACTGGTGGCGCCACCCTGTTAGACGCCCCCGTCCGTTCGCCATCCGACGCCAAATGCCTTGCCCCTCCCCCCCGCAGCCGCGCCGTCGGGGCTCCGTGCGCCCTGGCCGCCACGGTGCGCCGCAGTTTCTGTCCCCTTGCGGTGCGCGGAACCCTGGCACTGGACTGGACTGTTGGGCCATGTGGCGCAACCCCAGCGGGGACGCACCGGCGCCTGTCAGCCGTAAGATTCTCCGGACACCGCCGTTCCGCTGGGCGCTGCTGCCTGTCATAGGCCCTCGGAAGTCGGGCACCCGCGTCGGTGACACGACCCGTGGTGTGTGCGTTGGCCATCCACATCGCGGTGCCCCCTGGCGCCCTCTTAGGTCGGCCCCAAAGTCGATTCGTCATATGCTTTGCGTCAGGTTTGCGTTGTGGCGCCTGGCGCCTGCACCCTTTTGCCAACGTCTGCCGGTGAACTCGGTTGAAACCAGCTGTTGATGATGTGGCAATAGTACCTCTCTTTCTGTGTGTCAACACTCTGCCTCCAGCGTGTGTGGATGTGCTGATTTGCTGTTCCCGTGTGTCATGTTGCCCCAACCGTCCACTGTCGATTGTGTGTGCGCTTGTGCATTGCTTGTCATGGTTGCTCCCTTGATTGTTTCAGCTTGAGATGATGATTTACCTGTCGTGATTGTCTTCCTTGGCTCCTGTTCATTCAAACTGTCATTGCTGCGCATACACTGCCAAAAGCAGAACCATTCGGCTGGCGTCGTAATTTGCAGGAATGGGTTGCCTGGTAACATTCAGAGTCGTACAATGTGTAAGACTGCAATACGTTTCTGGCGCTGTCAGTTGTGGGGCATCCACCTCTCCAACGCTCTACTATCCATCGAATGGGCTGTGCTGTTTGAATCGTCATCTATACTGTGATATCCGAGGTGGCTGTGAAATGCCCACCAGGACACTGGCCCCAACGAGCCAGCAGCATGCACCAATGTCCCCCAAGCACAAATGTAGGATATGTTAGCTGTGGCTTGTTGCAAAGTGCGGATCCTTGTTTGTTGCGAACGGAATCTCTTCGGAGTTTCTCACCGGCTGTCACTGTGACTACAGGATTGTTGTGTGGTTTGAGTGGTGAACTTGAGACACCCGCACACTCCCACACTGTCCTTCTTGGACGCCCCTTTGTGTATTGTTCTCGCATCGCTCTAGAAAGCGCACCCCGTGGGAGACGTTATCTCATTGCTGGTGTACAGCAATCAGAAAAATCAACCATGCTTTTAAGCATTGGAGAGGAGTGTGTTTTTGCAGGGACGGAGGTAAGTCTGGTCCGTGGGGCTGGCTTTGGGGGGTTGTGAGTGCGTGCATATTAACGGGTGACGGTCGGCCTCGACCGATTTCTTGTCCTTGTGTGTGTGTTTCGTGTGTAGGGATTAGGTGCATAAAGGTGCGCTTTCACATGCTCTGAGAACTGTCATCCTGACTTGACACATGGGGCTTCACTGCCGCTTGCACTTGCGATTTTTCACATGTTCTTCGCACGGCGAAGCTGCATTCCTCCCTGTCGCTGTCGCCCTCAATCCACACTTCGTGCACCCCCTGCAGGCTCTCCCCGCCTCCTCCCTCCGTCTTTCTCCGCCTTCACTTCGGCGCGCTTCACGGCCCCCACCTCGCGGAGATGGCATTCAACGGCACCGCCAACCTGCCCCTGCCCGGGTCATTCACCCCGGCCAGCCTGAGGTTCGCCAGCACCCCGCGCAGCCCGGGCGCGGGCAGGTCGAAGCTGCTCTCCAACAAGGTGCGGCCGACCGTCTCCGTTCCACCTTCCCCTTCGCCTGCCCCAAGAAGCCGTGTGCACGTGCCGTGTACATAGTGTGTGTATGGTGCGTTTACCGTGACGAATCGTTGGCAGATATTTGTGTCCCGAGTGGATGGATACTTCCGGTGGATACAGCGCGCTGGGGGATATTGTGCGACAGCAGGCTGTAGTGTTTATTTCGGCGTCCCAATCTGCGGTGCTTGCTTCTGCGACTGAGCGCCGAGGAAGTATCTCCGCCGTGTGCGCCACTGAGCGAACGCACGGGAGTCTGCAGTGGGGACGCCCCCGCCCCCTCAGTCAACCTTCAACCGTCCGCACGCCTCTCGACTTGTTAGCGATTGCGCAGCACTGTGACGTCGTCTTGATCTGAAGGCGATCGGCTGAGGCGTCTTCACTCGCAGGTGCATGCACACTCGCAGAACGGCAATGGCGCCACGCCCAGCAGGAACGGCAGCAGTGGTAGCAACAGCAGGAATGGCAGCAATGGCAACAATGGCAGCAACGGCAACAGGTGTATGTCCAACCCCGTCCTCACAAAGGACTTCTGCGCGCCCTGGACGGTGCCTGAGTCTGGCATTGCCGACGCCCTGGGCCTGATGGCGTCGGGCGACCTCTTCCGGTACAACCGGGCGGACGCCAACTCCACGGCGTCCAGGGCGGAGGTCGCGCTCGCCGAGTACACCGGGCACAAATACTGCCTGGCTGTGAACTCCGGCGCGTCGGCCATCTTCCTGGCTCTTGTTTCGGCGGGCGTCCAGCCGGGCGACAAGGTAAGATCGCACTCCTTCAGTGGGGCAGGTTGGGGCGTGTTGCCGGGAACTGCGTCGCACAGGCTTTCGCTGCCATTGGTGTCCGCACCCATCCAATGAGATGCTGCGGCGGTGGACTAACAGGTTGGACGCAAGCACCTTCGCCGCGTTACGCGAGAGGACGCCCCCTTGCCCTCGCGCACGCACCGGCAGCGTTGCCGCGAGTCAACCAAACCGGTTCTCCTTGCATTCCTCGTGCAGCAACACAAAATGAACTTTTTCATGCGCCTGTGATTTCATTCGTCGTCCCCCTCACAGAGTTTCCTATCCACGTGTGCAGATCTTCTCGAACGCCCTGACCTTCGGGGC